CTTGCCGTGTAGTGTAATTTTGTTTAGTTTAATTTAGTAGTAATTTGTATTTAGTAGTGATGCCATCGCACGAGCCACCGGCGCTTCGCTTGCATGCGGAGCTGCGCTGGGCCGCGAACGCCCATACCTTGATAGGGCGACCCGATCAGGTCCATAGCTTAGAGAAGCGGCTCGAGCAAGTCATGGCCCGAAGGGCCGTAGTGGAGGAGGCTTGCACTGAGCTTTTGGCCTCGGATGTGGAACAGGGAGTCCTAGACTCCTGCCTCGCGGACTACGATCAATTATTTTCGCTCACGGACGACTTGATCGAGGCGGGGGCCAAGTATGCTCATGAAGCGCGTAAAGCACGGCTGAGTGGCCTGCTCGAGTCCCCTCGGAAGCAGGCTACTCAGCCGGAGCTGTTGGGACGACTCCCAACTCTGCACCTGCCAAGGTTCTCCGGGGTTCTCTCAGACTGGCTGACCTTTGTTGGCCTTTTTACAGCCTAGTGGACACCCGGAGGGACTTAACACCAAGCCAGAAGATGGCATACCTTCTGGCCTCACTGAAGGGGGAGGCCCTGGGCGTTGTTGGCCATCTGAAATTGTCGGACGACGCCTACAAGACCGCCCGGGACCTCCTCACCGGAAGGTACGCCAACGTCCGGCGAATTGCGGACGAATACGTTAAGCAGCTGCTAAACCTCCCGCTGCTTAAGGACCGGGCCAGACTACGTCCGGACATCGTAAATCCAGTTTTGGTAGCCTGTAATTCTTTGAGGCGGCTGGATTTACCGGTGGACGAATGGTCCTTTTTGTTGCTCCACATCGTGCTGTCCCGCCTGCCTCTCGATCTTCGGATCCATTTTGAGTAGAGGTACGGTGGGGACGGCGCCTCCTATATTCCGCCCTTCAGGGACCTGCTGCGGTTCTTGGAGGAGCAGTGCAGGCAGATTGAAAACGCAGCGGGCACTGTCGACGACCTACGGACTGCCAACCGAGCCGCGCCCAGGGAGAGGCGGAATCCCCCGGGCAAGTCGTCGCCAACCCCCCTAAGACCGAGCGGAGCTCCCGCGGGAGGGCACCGCCCCCTACCGTCTTATAGCGGCCTAGCAGCCAGGGAGGCGCCCCTCTTCTCCTATTGTCGAGCATACGATCACCGGGTGACGTTGTGCCCAAAGTTACTGGGTAAGCCAGTCCCGGCGAGGCGAACCATCACCAAGGAGCGCCGCTGGTGCTACTCGTGCTTGGAAAGGCACCTCCAACGAGACTGCCCGCACCAGCGGCCCTGTCCGCACTGTCAGGGCAACCACCATGCCGTGTTATGCCTGGGTGCGAACGACGCTTCCTCTCGGGGCTCCGCCGAGCCCTCAACTGCCACGGGTGGGGGCGCTCAGCCACGCCCTCTGTCGGGCGACGCGCTCCCCTGCCGGTCATCGTGCCCTTGGGTTTGATAGGGGTCCCTTCCTCGACCAGTCCGGGGGTCGTCCGCCCAGGGGCGGGGGGTCGTCACAGCACTCAGTGGTCAGCTAGACCCTTCTCACCCCCGTTAGCTGAGTGGCCGCGACTGGAGTACCACCCTCCCCCCTTTGGTCGGTACCGGTACTACGGGGTGCCTGCGACCTCGAATCTGTCCCGGGCCTAAGGCCGAGGTTCCCCGAAGCTCCCCAGGTCGGCCCATTCGGTGATTTTCAACCACGGCTCATTGAGATGCCGCCGGCATGGCACTTTCGGGACTCCCGGTTCGAGTGCCGGTCCGATGGAGGCAGTTCCAGCTAGGTAGCTGCCGCCCTAGCTTCCACCACGGCCGCCTCCACTGATCCTTTGAGCCGTCAACAGTCTACTTGTCAAACTGTTCTATTGCCGACTTTTGTCGGGGTAACTAAGGGCCGTAACAACCTGTATCCATCGACTTCCTTCATGTCTTACCAGGTCGTCGCTCCATCTAGTGGAGGGGTCACCCTAAACTACGCCTACGGCAACCACTCGAGAACCCTTTTTCCCCATCGGTTGTCGGTTATTCGTGCTATATGGCCGGCCCATTGCCTCTTCAGCTTACTAATCGTGAGGGTTACTCTGGTTCTGCCGCGGATATCCTCATTTCTAAGTTTATCACGCAGAGAAACCCCGAGCATAGCACTCTCCATAGCTTGCTGAGCGACCTTAAGTGTCCTCATACATACTCCTCATTGTTTTGTGTATTAATATAATACGATAAGCTTTTATTTAAAACTTACTTCTGTATTAAATGGCACTTTGTAACAAAAACCTTCACCTCTGTCCCACCTAGGGACATCTTGTGAGCGAAAGATTATTAGACCTCATTTTTCTATAACCCTTCCAGAAATGAGAGGCCTGTGCCCAGCAGTTACCTTCGGCTTTTATTGAGTCGGTAATTAAAACAATGAAATTTGTTAATATGAATAAACTTTATTTCTACAAATCAAAGATATATATAAATTGAACCACGCTCGCCTTTAACAAAACATTCAACAAAATACTTTGGAGCTAACAAAACACTTTGGGTGTCGACTTATTATGCCCTAAATAACGAATTATATAGACCAGTGTTTCTCAAACAAAATAACCGTCCCTTATTACTATGAATTAGTTTAGCAAACAACATCAATGTAGAACAATGGAAAAATTATAATTTGTTATTCAAATTGCGTGCAATGAAATAATAAATAGTTGAGGTAAATTTTATCTCATTAGTAACAACATAATGTGTACACATATAACAAATTCGAATAAAACAAAAACAATATTTCTATCTCCTTAACTGTAACAAAATGGAGAAATTTAAACGATAATAATATATTACGTTGATATTGTTTGCATAACTCAATAAAATTAATTATCGCAACAAAAATGTGTTGTGCTACAATCATGTGGCGATTTAAATTTACTGGATATTAATCAACAGATATGTACAACACAAAATCGTTTGCGATGCCCTAAAATAATCAATATTATAACATATTTTTTCAAGCCGTTGCTGCAAAGTAAACTAGGGCAACAGATAGAAACTAATACAGATCCTTCCAGCACCATTTATTACAGGAAACCATCCTTTCGAATAGTTTGATATCTTTTATAAGCTTTTCGCTTCCCTCCTATTTTCCTTCATTTACAAATTAATTAGCAATATACGCCCCATTTATATCAAAAGTTTGTCAAAATTATTCGAATCGTTTGCGCTTACTGGCCCCCTTGGTTAAATTTTACCTTAACACTAATCTCCAATAAATTAAGGCTCAAATTTTGACAAGACAAAAGTTGTCTTCATAAGATATCAGCATATTCAAAGAAAGATAATTTTTACAATTGAAGCCCACATAAAGCTCATCAAAAATCACAAAATAAGGAACATTATACAGCTTACTTTTTTATTTTAAAACTAACAATTTATAAAACTTTAGATTAAAACTAAACGAATTCATTCTTGAGTTAGAAGTTAGTTTTGAAATAGTAACGCAAAAGAAACAGAAATACAGATACCAATACATCTGACAAATGGCGATACCGTAACTGATGGCGGTTGTAAAATATATTTATTGTATATACTATTTATATATCACTTATATATTAATTTTTATATAATAACTTTACAGCCTAGCTTCTCTACATTAAATACATTTGGTCTTTGGATGAGCATGTCACATTATGGCTTGTGTCATTGTTTGTAACTATAAACAATATAAGTGCACTTTTCGAATTTAGTACTTGATTAGTTTATTAAAATACTATTCTAGACTAGACCTGCAACAAAAGCATCGCACCATCCACCTTCTGCATAACTAAAACGTAGAAGATAGGGTAATCACAGAGCCCCTTAGTAAAATATCCATAAAAAAACAAAAACAATATATTTGAGAAACACTGTTCCGGGACGAAACAGTAACTAAATGAGAAACGGTGCTCGCAAAAACTGTTAAAATATCTTAAAAATAAAAATGATGCAATGATTTTCTTAAAAGAGAAATTGATGAAAATTTTCGATAATTTTCAGGTACAATATAACTTTTACATACTGGACTAAAGTAAATATATTTTTTTTAGATTTTTAAATATGTTAACATATTATATCAAGTGTTAGACTGTGTCACGATAAGAAATAATTGTTTCTAGGTTTTCCACTAGCATAAAGATGTATCACAAGGGAAGGATTGTAAGTTTAACCCACAAATTCATGGACTGTAAATTTGGAAACTATTTGCAATTAAAATCATGCAAATTTCTTAACGGATATTTTTTCGTATATAATAATATCAGTAACGATATATAATTTATAAACGTTAATTTATTAACGTTAAATTTATTTTAATATAAACTCTATTTGTGATAAAACCACAAATCTGTACAAGTGCCTTAAGTAAAATTACACGACTCCAAACATGCAATACTATAAAACAAAAAAAGTCACCTTAAAAATGCAAAACAGTCTATGCACGTGGTGTCTTAGTTCAGATTTTACATCTAAAATATTAAGGCGATTTAGGTGGTATAACCTATTAGATAAGATACACATAATGAGGTTTATGATTTTACAATGACTTATTTTTGGCATTTTATTATATAATTTTAAATTGTGATGTTTAGTGAAAATACAGCGTGATCTAATGAATAATTTTATTTAATTGACAAAATTAATTAGAACACACTGTATTAAATTACATCTGATCACTTCTGAAATATTATATTTCTCTTTTTACATGCAAAATAGATTATGCTTTTTTATTCCTGTGATATTTAATAGTACTTTTTCTATCACCCTTAGTTTATTAATCCTAAAAAGCAAAATATCGTTAGCCTACACGAACTCAACCCAAGTATACATATATATCTTTTCTATTTCTATATAAATAATTATATCTCTAATTTATAAAAACTACAATTAAAAAGTGTACAATAACATTAATTTTATGCGTACCATGTAAAAGTAGATCTATATATAAATATTATCTGATTATAAAGTAAATAATTTTTGGAATATCTTTTAAGGCTAGTTGTGTTGGTATTTTATACCATGGAAGCGTTGTCGTTCGCTTTGGCAATGCCTTCCGCAATGGTCGTGTCTTCTATTTTGGACGTGTTAGCAGCAACTTCGGCTAAGGTTGCTAGTGCGAGGAGGTCGACGCTGTTGTGTGGCGTTTGGTTGCAGATCTCCATAGTTTGGATCACAGTGCAAGGCGCTTCAGTTCCGATTTTGATATCAGGGCTCGTTTTAGGTGCTCTATTCATATCATTCGACACCAAGCTGTTGATCTCGAGTCTTGTGATGCTTATTTTTCTCGGTTTTCTCTTTTGACTACCGATAACATTTTCGCGCCATCTTTCGGCCATTTCACGTTTGTCTTCCATAAATGGACGTGGCACTGAATTTATTATTTGGGAAGATTCAAGCGCCTTTGGTTTCAAATTGATCGTTTTCTTTTTCCGTTTATTTTCGCGTTTCTTTTGTTGGAACTTCTCTAAACTAAGGGAGGGTAAGGCCCTAATTTTAGCATCTAAATCGAAGTCGGCAGCCTTAAATGTTTTGTTAGCATTATTGTCTGGTTCAGTAGCATCGGTTTCAGGTTTCGCTTCGTTTTCTGTAATGATGTCGTTCACAGAGCTCGGCTTCGCGTCTTCGACATAAGACTCTTCACGTGAACTGCCAGGATCCCAGCTACAGGACGCGCTGTAGCCCTCGTCTGGCATCTTGTCAGGAAAATCTCTTCTTTGTCTCTTATTCACTATCAGTCCACCCACTGCCATGAACTCCTGATACCTTTTTCCTTTGCATGACCTTCCGGATTTCGATTTCTCATCATCCGACCAATTTCTTTGATACCCGTCGTCAGTCGAGTATCTCTTGTCGACTATTTGATCTATAACATCCTGGTTTGTGAACTGATCATTTGGTGTCCCGTAGTATATTTGACCAGTTTCATCAAAATCTTCTTCAAATATCCTAGTGGTTTCAGTGAGAGCATTCTGAAGCTCACGTATATTGTCTTCTCTGTTGCCTTTAATGCCGACCCGTTCTAGAATATTACGAGATCGGTTTTCTATTGGGGTTGAGATCGCGTTAAACTTAAATGAAGGAGGTGAGTAGTACGGATTTGGAGTTTGAATTTCAGTCTTGGTAGCAAGGAGACTACTGAGGCCTCCCATTTGGGCTTCGTCAGCCAATTTGCCTGGCGTGAACATCGATAACGGTTTTGCTTCTGCGTTAACAGCATTTTCTGATGGTGTTTTGTTAAGATCGACTTTAGTGGAGTTGTTATTTGTTTTCTCTAATTCAGTATCATGATATTCGTTGTTGGAGGACACGATAGTTTTATCATTCGATTCCCGAGGCCGTGATGTGAGAGTACGAAGAGGAGGTGCGGGCAACTTGTACCACTTGAAGTCAGGGTTAGCGCTGAAGAATGCGTCTTTATACTATAAACAGAAAGTGTCGTTAGACTATTGTGTCACAAATTAAATTGTATATAAAAATATACACAGTTAATATGTACCTGTTTAGCAAGACTTGTGTAGCAAGCTTTCTCTTCTTTTTCCAAGTTAGCCCACCATTCCCCCAGAATTTTAGTTATGGATCTGTAAATACGAAAATAATAATTCAAGCAAAGGATTGACAATAATATCCATTCATTAACTACAGTTTATCTATAGTTTTACTGTAGGTTTTAACGTGCATAATAACTTTTTGATACAGACGTTTTATCTTTATCTATATGCTTGACTAAAGATTTAAGGCCATGTATTCCTGCAAAAGTAGGCATTTAGCGCTGTCCCGGCCGCGCACGAATTATTTCGCGCGGACTCCCAAGGCATTGAACTTGCATGACCCAACCAGCAACACAGTTTAGAAATAAGCAGTAGGATGACTTTTTTATTTGACTTTACAAATGCATTTTTTATGATCAAACTTTTTTTTATTATAGCGATAAATTAGAGTTACATAAGACCGGTGGTAAGGTCTTATTGTAACTAACAAAACGAACCCAAACTCGGCACACCTAGTTCTAGGAGTTCCACTTGTAATCACCGAATTACACCTTCAGGTCACTCCATCAAGTCCGCAGGTAGGTAAGGTCTTATTATAACTGACAAAACCAGTTCAAAATCCAGAGCTAACATCTCGCTTCCAGTGCCAAGCAGTCTCTGGAGCAGGTATTCGTATTTCGTATCTAAGTATATTTCTGAGGTATAAGAAATAAAAAACAAATTCAATCTTTCAAATTATCAAAATAATTTCATTTGACTACGATTCCCACAGCCAACCGTGCGTACACTTGTGTGTGCGACTTTTGTCAATGTAGTAGTGCGATTCTATACCTATCAATTTTGTAAACGCGTCCTTAAAACCACAGGATGTATATTTATAGCACGCAATATTTAGTCTGTGACAACAATTATATGAACTCGTCAAGAACTGATTTATTGGTGCACGGAGAAAACTGACACAGATCCGTCGTCCATAAGCGCCAGCGCGCGACTGGTCAGGTTTGCCGAGCAGCGTGACCAGATTTCATATGACGAATCTACTGCTTGTGGAGGTTAAAATCTACTAAATTCTACCAAAACAGAACGAGAAAATACTAAAAATCTATTTATTTTTTTGCTGTCGTGTTACAACGTAAAAACATGATTTTTTTTTAGATTAAACGATAAAATAATAAAATAACAAAGAAACAACAATTAATTAAAGAAACTAATGTTTTTTAAACTTAAATTCTAAATAAAAATATAATTAAAAAAAAAAGAATAAAATGAAACTTAAAGTTAAGATTCTTCATCATTTTTTTGTTGGGTTACATTGTCATAAAGCTGTTTTGAGTCCATTAACTTGATCATACTTCTGTCAGGATTAAATCTGCTACATCCTCCTTCCAACTGTCGTAGCCCCTCTTTTCCATGCATTATTGCTGCAACATTCTTATTATTAAATCGATTTCGATCTTGATTTTTAATCCTATTAATATTGGAAAATATTCTTTCTACTTTGGCGTTTGACAAAGGTAGTATCGTCATTTGCTTCACAAATCGGGACAAATTGCCATACTTTGGTTTGCTATTCGCATCACAGATTTGGCTGACTTCGCTCCAAAATTTATCCACCATAAAAGTTTCAGATGTCGAACTAGAAGTTGACAATAAATTAGACACGGAAACATCTAATTTTAATTCCCTATATTCATTGTCAACAATTTGCATGTTTTCGGTTGCAACTATGTTAGGAAACCTTTTGAGTATTCCTATCAGAGTTCGAAATTCACCATACACCGCTTTTTGGGGATCGATGAATGACAAATCCTGCAAAAAATTATCTTGTACAGGCAGTCTTTGCAGAAATTGGTTACTCAGCTCGATCAAAAATGACTGACATCTGTTAAGGAATTCCTCAATTTTAGATCTCATTCGGACATCATCTTTTAATGATTCCAATGTCATTGCTACGTTTGTGCCCAGGTACATGTTTTGTATAGGAAGGAAATGCATTCTTGAACTTGGATCTATTGACTGAAGTGGAGTAGTTTTTATATAATTTATCTTCATAAAACAACTCAAAATTGAACTCATCATGTTTTGTATGTCTGTTCCAATTTTATGAATAAGTGTCTGATCACTTTGAAAAATAACGTTAAATTTTGTAGTTATGGGTAATATAAAATCTAAAAAGTAAAGATAAAGTTTTGTCTCATCGCTGTTAAGGTGATCAAATATAAATTGACAAGTAGCATTGGCATTCTTATTCCCTAAAAACTCATTTTGAAAAAAAAGTTTTAATGCTGACCACTGCTCTATAATTCGGTGTATGCATTGATGTAGAGAAAGCCACCTGATATCATAATGACGAAGCATATGGTGAGTTGGAGTGTCAGTAAAATTTTGAAATTCCACAAAGTCTCTTTGTCGTTGGCTACTGTGAGAGAAGTATGAAAAAACATCTTTGACAAACAACTCTATAGAACGAGGTAATTTTTTGCATGCATAACTCACTGAAAGGTTTGTTGAGTGGCAAATACATTTGAAAAAAATGCAGTTTGGGTTGACTTCCCTAATTTTAGATACCACGCTACTCCTTTCGCCGAACATTACATTCGTGGTATCAGCAGCGAACCCTATTAAATTGGCTATAATAAGGTTTTTTTCAGATAAGGCACATGTTAAACTATCAAACAAATCTTGCGCAGTATCACCTTTTAAGTCCACCATACACAAAAATTTTGTTTGTGGAGATTGCAATTTTTCAGAGTAGTACTTTACTGCTACTGCAAGTACCTTGGTAGTACTGACATCTGTGCTCTCGTCGATAATGAGCGAAAATACTGGGCTTCTCTCAGTTTCATTTTCTGGTCTTGGACGTAATTCTGCAAGCATTTTTTCCTCGAAGTTATTGCCTAAGACGTTGTAGGCAATTGCGGCAGATTTAGTTCTTCTAACTTCGCTTACATGATCCATTACGCGAAAGGGAATATAATGTACAACTAAGGCAGCTATAATGCTGATTTCTGCTTTTTTTACTTCTTCCGAAATGGTTGATGTTTTGAAAATCGTATCAATCTGTAACCAAAGAAGTTAAAAATAATTATACAGGACATTTCATATAGCGCTATGTAGTATCAAATACTAAGCAATTTTTACATAGCATTTAACATGAATAAACACACACATAGTTGTATAGTAATTGTTATGTAAATGCGTAGGTAATAAACGTACATAAAACAGCGAATGTTTGAATTTTGAATGAAAATAAAATTCATGAACTTTAAAACATAATACGGGTTCACACTACTGCGTAAGTTGAAAGTATTAAAAAAAATCTTAACAAGAATAATTAACTAAGAATTACATTCCACATATTAACGTAAGTAACTTGCATACCTGAGAAATGCCGGAATATCCTTTCATATTTTTTATATGCTTTGATGTGGCCATGTGTTCTTTCAAAGACGCCACTCTACTTAGTACTTCACAGTTGCATGCTTTACAATGAGCACTCGTAGTGTTTACCTTAGATTTACATAACCAACTTTTAAATGAGGGATCTTGCTCCCATTCATCGCGATATCCGTGTGTATATTTACGTTTCATTTTAAATTCGATTATAAAAAAATCTCAATAAAGGAATTCCCACTAGTCTATCCACATTCCGTGCTCAGAAAACGACTAATAAAATTGTGTTGTCTAGTCTATCATTATAGAAGCAACTTTAAAATGATCTAAGTTGAAAGACCTATTTTACAAAAATAGCCTTTATCTATTGGAAAATGAAATTCAATTTGCTATGCCCACAGTACCGTTCATTCAATAATAAGGGAATCCCCCCAAATCACTTTCGTGTGCTGCCAACTGTAAAATTAAAACTTTTTGGACGTGGATGCTTGGTTTTAAGCCTAATATTTTTGACAGAGAATTAATACCAAAACCTACCGATGTGTTTCTCATTTCTACTAAATTCTACTAAGACATTTTATCCTACTAGATTATCATCTTATTTGCTTCAAATCTACTAAAAAAGTAGAAATCTACTAAAAATGGTCACGCTGTTGCCGAGCCGCCGCGCTCGCGCTTTTTAGGAGGTATCTAAATATAGTAATTAACACAATATTTTTATCAAGTCAAACTCTGCGAATTTGTCTGTAAAAATTAAGTGGCTTTATTTGAGTACAAAATTTAAGTGCAAAATGTTAGTAGTTTAGTCATAATATTGAAAAAACAATACAAAAAGGGGTCACTTAGGGATTTTTTTCTATCGAGTGAAGTTCTTTAGATTTTGTAACTGAATGCGATTTTGACTAGACTAGATCTTTAACTAATAGTATATATTTTTATCAGGATTTAAAACACTAATTTATATGCCTCAGATGGTTTAAGAAAACTCAAAAGCGCGGTCTCTGCGAAATACCTAGCCTTAATGGTGATACTCACCTGTTCTCAAGATTAGGATACTTGTCGCGCACGACACTTCTGTGGCGTTTGCAGAATATAAGGAAGGCGTTCATGGGCCGCCGGGCGTGATGCGCCGGCTCCCCATCGCCGTCCTGCTCGTGCATTGTCCACTACCTGTACGCGAAAGGGAGATAGCTTAAACTTTGCAATGGTCGTCTTGTATACATCCTTATACCAAAAGTTAAAAGACTGATCAAAAATACCATGTTGACGAAGTTAAAAGATATTGTTATAAATTATGTAACTATACTGCGTGGTTTTCTTAGGGTGCACGTTACCTGAAATGCTATCTACTCGCATTACAGCAGATGATGTATTTTTTTAAATATCGATTTCTTAGTGTGAGTGTACTGTGAGTCTAGAAGCAAAATCTAGGTCATTCAATAAAAAAATATTTTCCAAGAACTGATCTCAGTGTTTTTTTACTGATCCTCATTTTTTTACTTTCTGTAAGTACTTATATATACTTTCGGATTCTCTATTACGGAGGGCATTATATGTTCTGCAGCATAAGCTCCATCTTTGATAAGGCTAGCGCTCCTAAGCAGTAGGGATTTGAGTTAAAAGGTAATTCCTCTCTTAACTTAAAGCCCTCAGTTCAGCCCGATATGACACTTATATGAAAGGCTGTACATAGGTTTCCCCAAAAAATATATGATTTGAGGATAGTATTAGTTTTAATAATAAATTCGAATCATATATCTTAATAATGTTTATAATCTATAAGCGAAATACCACTGGTACTGACTGAGTCATTACGAGATGTCTAAGACTATACACCCGATTGACTCGAAATTTAGTACAGTTACTCATTTCGCAATGTAGACACTCACTAAGAACTCATTTTACAATAGTCCCATCAAAAAATCTTGATATTTTACATATGGGTTCTGCAATAAAATATTATCGTGAGAAAAGCGCAGCGGGTGGGTATCAGCTGTTTGATAATAATATTAATGATTAGTACTCATTGAATCAAGTTAATTTATAAAAAATAAATAATTGTAATTGTTGATTTTGGAAGAAAATACTATTTTATTTATTTTTATTATCTTCAATCATGAAAAAGAGTAAAAGTTAATAAATTTGTTCGTAAACGGATATTCTAAATGGGTTTGGACCAAAACCATTTCTGAACAAATTTAATTTTCGAAAACCTTTTTAGAATGTAATTACCATATAATACTATAATACATACATAAGTAATTACCGTATTAAAATTTTCAAGTGTGCGTGCTTTTATTTTAAAAACGTAAGTAGTTTGTATGATGTCACAAAATATTTATTAATCTGTAATTATAAACGCTTACTCTGTACTGGCCACTTGCATGATACGTCAGAATGAGATAATGACTTGTACTTGTACGCGTAGGTGACTGTTTGTTTAGTTAAGCTTCTAGTTTTATTCTGACATCAGATTCACAGTCAATTTTATCGATCGATAAAAGCACGCGTATGTTTATATTTACTTCGTTATTGAGTAAAGGAAATACAGCACATGTAAACTTTCGACATTCGATTCTAATGCACTATATTATGACGATAAGATGAAGCTGACCCAGGGTTGCCATATTCTCCCCATTTGGACGGGTTCCAATTCCAACCTTGTCGTGGCGGGGATCGGGGGGGGGGAGGAGCTGCAGCTTCATCACCCTTGGTGAACTATGAGGATCTACATGGCTGGCCCGAGGTAAATGCAGTGATGCCAACTTAGCGCTTAGCGTCCAATCAACCGCTTTTTAAATAATATTCCTTTTTAAAATAAATAAAACAACAGTGCAACAAGTATCTAAAATCTAAAGCCTCATAAATTAAAAATAAAAGTATGTATTATTTGATTGACGACATTCTATCGACATTTTTACAATAAATAATATTGAAGATTATTTAGACTAAGCACCACATCCCAGTTACAATTTTGAAAAGTAATTGGAACCGTATTCTGACTCTCAAAAGAGCAATATACGTAAACGATGAGTTAACTTTACTGTAAAATTAAAAAAAAAAGAGTTACAAAAGAGATTGCCAAAGAATTGTCATATATTAAAATATGAATATAATTAATGTTACTGAAGAGCCGTGGAAGCTCAGATGGTTAGCGCTCGCTGTAAATTTCACATAACGCGATCAAAGCGGGGTCGATCTCCGCCGGCACCAATGAAATTGTTAATTGCAATTTTAAGTGCTGATTTACCACCTACATGTCAGAGAAATAAGAACAAAAAATATTTCGAAGACATATGAAGTTCGCCAACACGCATTGGGGCAGCGCGGCGGAAACTTCCTTGCTCTAAAACCCGCTCAGAAATGAGCGGAGGCCTGTGCTCAGCAGTGGGACGTGTATAGGTTGTAACTTTTTACTGAAACTTTAAAGACGAAAAAAGGGTTGAAAATGATTCAATTAACTAAATATTTTGGCACAAGTGCAGATGAGATAAATAAAATCGTTGGTCAGTGGTGCAACATAGTATCGGAGAAATGGATAATCACAAACGACACTATTATACAATTTTGGACGGAAGTTAAAGGATACAAAGATGCTGGTGGTAATAATTTCAAGAATTGGCAGAACTTGATTTACATGTTTTGGTTTTACCCCACTCGAACGCTAACATCGAAAGGATTTTCAGTTAGATGAACGTAATTAAATCAAAGTTATGAAACCGTATGAATCTTAATACACTCGTTTTTATATATTAAAACTGTCTTGAACAATTTTAATTCGACTTGCTTTAATATGAAATTCCAAAAGAGTGACAAAAAAGTACGCAGCAAAGATGTCTATACATTCAAACTGTCAAAATTCCACTACAGTACAAGCAGCACTTCTACTTCTCCTCAGCAGGAGAGCCAGGAAATTATTAAAAAAGAACAAGATTCTGACGATGAAGTAGAGTGAATAATTAATTTGTAAATAATTTTTAATTAAAAATAATAATTACCAATTTTTTATTGTTTTTTTCATTTTATTGTTAATTTAGCGCTTTTTTCGAATAAAATGCAAATCTAGCGCTTTTTTGAAGTCAATTCGGCGCGTTTTCTTTAAGGAATGTTGGCAACACTAGGTAAAGAGCCGGCTATGGATTGTAGAAGTAAGGAGTACAGACTGTGTATTAAAAAGTGTCCATAGAAAACCGTTAAATAAGGGTGGCGCCACTATAACTACGGGGTAAATTTTAAAGAACGCACCGAAAAATATTAGTGGGACAGACGACTTCTTCGAGGTTATATACTAAATAAAATTATTTTAGATTTTGGAGCTAAAGAGCACTTTAGCAGCACACTTAAACCGTCGACAACTTAGAGGCTCAATATATGGTAAGTGTGCTCGCGGACACTTCTGCCTCAAGGTCATTTCATCCCAGTAGCTACTCCAGCGCTGTTGTGGAGAGTTTTTGAACTGTTATTTACTGCTTACAGATGGTCACTTTTTCAACTGTTCTATTGTGGGAGTTGGTACTCCTTACTTCTACACTCCATAGGGCCGGCATTACCTCTATACTCCATGGCCGGTATGTAGAGGTAAAGGGGGGGCTAATTCGGATGTGTATTGGTACGCTGCGTGCAGCTGAGGCGGTGTTGCGGGATCGCGGGTGAGGAGGAGTGTTGGTGTAACGATGCGTCACTCGCACTATCGACTCGTTGTAGTGAACCGCTGGGGAAGAGGAATGTCCTTCGGCCGAGGAAATTTGGTTGGCGGCGGAGCCACAGGCCAGACCCGCCGCTGGTGTCGGAATAGCTTGTGCTTCCGAGCGCTCGATTTGGCCCCATAACCTCCGCTTATCGCATACAAAATCAACGAAGCAGTCAGTCCGTTTAAAGTTCTTTACGTAAAAAATTTATTGAAAATATTTTTCGCATATTTTTGGAATCCATGCTCAGCGACGAGTAGTTTTCAATAGTGACAAATATAGTTATGTTAGGGCGCGAATTTTTTTTTAAAGATAATTAGTAATCCTATTAATTCATCATCATCATTACAGCCCTTCACAAGTCCACTGCTGAACATAGGCCTCCCCCAAGTAATGCCACAAAGCACGGTCCTGAGCCACCTACATCCATAGACTTCCTGCATGTCTTACCAGGTCGTCACGCCATCTAGTGGGGGGTCGCCCTACACTACGCCTACCGGTACAAGGCTGCCACTCGAGAACCTTTCTTCCCCATCGGTTATCGGTTCTTCGAGCTATATGGCCGGCCCATTGCCACTTCAGCTTACTAATCCGTTGTGCTATGTCGGTCACTCTGGTTTTACTGCGGATATCCTCATTTCTGAGTCTATCACGCAGAGAAACTCCGAGCATAGCCCTCTCCATAGCTCGCTGAGCGACCTTGAGCGTCCTCATACGGCCAGCAGTGAAGGACCACGTCTCAGATCCGTAAGTCATCACTGGCAACACGCACTGGTACACTTTAGTTTTCAGAGATTGAGGTATACCTGACCAGAAGATGTGTCGTAATTTCCCGAACGCTGCCCAGCCGAGTTGAATCCGTCGATTGACCTCTCGGTCGAAGTTTGACTTACCTAGTCGGACTATTTATCCCAGGTAAACGTACTCGTCAACAACTTCGAGCATAGTGCTCCCAACAACTACCGGCATAGGTGTGACATGGACATTAAACATGATCTTTGTTTTGTCCATGTTCATCTTAAGATCTATCCGTTGGGAGACACCATTGAGGTCATTGAGCATAGTGCTAAGGTCCTCCAGCGATTCTGCCTATTAATTAACATCCTATTAATTAACATTACTAATATTCCCTTTAACCACTCCTGGTAAGCTGAAAATGCTTGTGTTAGGAGTGGTTCATGGCGGTAGTCGAATGGTGGATTCGAACCCACGACCTTTTGAGTTAGCGGTCCGCGCCCTGCCATTAGGCTACTGTCGCTTAAATAAATAAATTAAATAGTAATGACATCTCATCTTATCTCATCTCAATTAAGTAACAATCATGGGGGACAGAAATTTTCGGAAATTTGGTTCACTTTGTTCACTTGATTAACACTACGCTGACCGAACTCGGCGGGTATATTGTAATGTTGGTACTGGAAGAGGAAAATTCGCGAAACACGTGACTCGCGAAGTCGTTGAAGTTTAAAAAA